CTATTTGATCTTTCAATATTCTCTCTCAAATAAGTCCACTTATGATTTTTAAGGTATTGGCTCATATAGGATGATTGGCCCTCACTGTTAAAGGTTATCCGTGGTACATACAATTGCATTCTGGTGATAACCACCCTGCAATCAGCCCCGGCTTGCCAAATGAGATTACCATCTGACTCAATCTCAAAATTCATCTCAACTCTTGTATTAGGTAACAGCTCATCTTCTAATATTTCGAAGAATGAGTATCTATTCAGTGGTATTTCAGTGTTTACTGTAGATGAGACACCTAAGAGTGCTTTTCGAAGGGCAAAACCCTTATTGTAAGCTGCTCGCCTTTTAGCTAACTGATTTGTGCCACTAACTTCGAATTCCCGCTCTTCCGCATTTCTAGATGTATCAAGGAAGAAAAACTCATTACTTGCTGTCTTACTGGCGTAAGCCGGACTATAGTCAAGCAAGTTTTTAATAGTAACCACATGATTCGCGTCTTTACAATCGTACACTTTCTTGCCATTCAATTTAATGTCAAAATGTTTCAACAGTGAGTACGACCCGTTTACAATACCATTATGATCTGCTACTGCAATGTTACCTCCATTAGCCAGCAAGACTACTTTAAAATCAAGACTGATACGAGCATTATACCAGTCAAATGGTGTAACCTCTTCGCTGTTATCAACAACAAATCTGTAGCCATCTTTCTTTTGGTGAGCATCATTGCCGACAGTTGTATTCAGTGCTGTTTCTAGGTCAAAAATAACATCTTCATATCGTTCAACATATTTTGGATTTCTAAATGATTTCATATAATAATAGATTACATAAATCTTCTCATCTGGCCTCCAGATAGTAATTGATTTACTCGTTCATTAATCTCGTAATCAGTGAGTTCCTTTTGTGGATTTTCTATTGGTAACGCTGCTACTGGTGATGCTGCTACCGGTGTCTTTTTATTCTTTTTGCTTAATAATTGAATAATTTTATCGCCCCCTTTTTCGCCAGCATATTCATCAGTTTTGGTAGCAGCTTTCTGAACAGCCTTCTTGGTCGCTGTTTCAGCAGCTTCCTTCATGGTCTTTCCAAACAACTTTCTACCAATCGTTTTGAAAACATCGGTAACACCTTCTCCATAAATGTGCTTTTTAACATATCTTCCCGTTTTAACATCATAACGTTTCTTAAATTCTGATTGTCTCATTGTATATTATATGGTTAGATATTATGCTGGTTTGGATCGCAATATCAATGTCATAAACCAGTCATCTTATTTAATCCAATTGGTCGCCCAGTGAGTCTGTGATATAAAACCTCATTTGTGAAGAAAACTTGATTAAACAATAGTCTTCTGGGTTCAAATGTGAATGGAAAGCTGCTTGTCAAATTGTCAGTTGGAATGACGGCTAACGTATTAGTATTAACACCATTCGATATGCCATTCGTAATAGCGTCTGTGTTAATATAAATCATATCAATGGAATTTGTGATATTAGGCAGATCACCATCCCCATAATCTGTTTTCTTTACAACCTTTTCTGTAAATCCAATTAACTCGCCAAATTTACTATTTCTCAGATCCAGTTGGTAATTGTTGTCGATCTTAATGAGAATCTTGTATGTCGATAATACAAATGTTAGGTTAATGTAGTATACATCATCCTTTTTTGCATCAGTAGTTTTATGGCCTTTCTTTTTCATGTACTGATGGAGATGGTCATTTAGATCTGAATAAGTGTACATTCCATCCACAAATTTGACGGTTTCCCATGATGTTCCACCATCAGGTGAGTATTTTATTTGGTTATTTTGATACTGATCTGAAATATTGTGCCAACTGTAAGTCATTGTGGCCTTATCCAAAGCTATTTCATGTGTCATATTACTTTGGAGTTTTAAGACTGGATCAAATTTGATTATGAAATCTTCTGCTTTATTCTGACCGATTTCCTGTCTATTAACAGATGAAATATGGATTGCTCTTTCTTGCATTGATATTATTAGATTACAAATTCCTTCAACAGACTATTCAGCTGGTTGTTATTTAGAACACCTAATTTGTTCATTCAATTTTGGAAAATTCCTTTTTCACACCATTATTTCCAGCTAGTATTGATCCACCTAATAATTCTAATCTGTCCAATAGATCAACTGGGTTATTATAATAAACAACTCCTGAACCGATTTTTTTGTACTTATTACTAGTTCGGTGAATTGGAATATCACTTATTCTATTCAGGTCATCAAATACCATTTTTGATAATGGAGAATACTTCTCTTTACTGTTGAACCGCTCTGTGAGCAGATCAAGGGTATCAAAGTCCACTTGCTTATCATATACTTTTTTACCATCCTTATGAGCAATTAGTTTGAGCTGGCCATAAAGTTTGGGCACGTCAATTGTTACATTTCCATAAACACCAGTTTGTGGGTTAACCTTGTAAGCATTCTGCTTTTTTTATGTATAAATACCCTGACCAGTTTTCAGTGTTTTCGTGCCTTCCTCTACAATACCAATTCGTTGTCTGTATTTTCTTGTGATATCAATTCCTTCAGTATACTCGGCAATTTCACCCTTACTTTTCTTTCTGTTAGCTTTTGTTGTGCTCAAATGGGCTTTTTTCTGACCCAATTTCTTATTTATTTCACCAGATTTATCTAATATTTGTTTCGCATAATTTGGTTTCTTTAGGGTTCGTAAAAAAGTGTCAGCTGGTAATAGCAATTGCTGGTTTTGTATGAATGCCAATTCTTCTTGAGTAAATCCTTTATTCATATCACCTATCATTTTGGGTGCCACCTCACCACTTGGGCCTGGTAATGCTAATCTTTGAACTTGTTCACCATAGGGGATAACTTGTTTATTAACATCTTCTCTCAATTTACTGATTTCATCAATTTCCTTATCAAACTTTTCTGTTAGAGGTTTTAGATCTTTAGCCACTTTTTCACATAAATCTTGATCTCTAGTTTCAACTTCTTTTATAACATCCTTAACAACTTCAGTCATTTTTACTGCTTCAATTTTAGGAATACTGAGTCTCTTGAATCTTTCTATATCCATTATACTATTGTGTTATATAAAACTTATCTCAACTTATCTCAACTTATCTCAATTTATCTAACATAATATTATATGGAGATTCCAAGTTATGATTTTAATGAAGATGAAAATACAAACTTCAAACAGCTGTACAAGTATATGCCCAAGTCCAATTTCCGGATGCTAATATGTGGCAATTCAGGGTCAGGCAAAACAAACTTACTTTTTCACATCCTTATGAAACCATTAGTCTATTATGATCAGATCCATTTATACGGTAAAAACTTGGAACAGGAAAAGTATCGACACATGATAGAAACAATGAATGACATTAGTAGCCAGGTTTGGATATGACATAATGCACTGCAATAATGATGACATTAAACCTGTCAATAGTCTGGAAAGTGATGCCCAGAAAATTGTAATATTTGACGACTTCATTTGTGATAAAAATCAAAAACCGCTTATCGATTATTTTATTCAAGGCCGACATAAGAATTGCAGTGTTATTTACCTTTCACAATCATTTTATAAAACTCCAAAAGATATCAGACTAAACTGCAATCATTATATTGTTTATGATTTCCCTAGCAGTAATGAGAGAAATGTGATTTCTCGAGAGTTGAATGTAACAAAGGATCAGTATATTAAAGCAACAAAACAACCCTATTCATTCCTGTGTGTTGACAAACCAATGAAGACCGTCAAAAGAAACTTTTATGGAAATACCTAATATACTATTATAAAATGGGAATTTTTAATCAACAACCTAATTATAATCAATCATATACGAAAGAAAAACGCGGTATTACTGGCCCTCAAGGACCTCCTGGCCCACCTGGCCCCGCTGGTGCTCAGGGTAACCAAGGTCCAAAAGGTGATCAGGGTATTCAAGGACCCAAAGGTGATCAGGGTAACCAAGGACCCAAAGGTGATCAGGGTATTCAAGGACCCAAAGGTGATCAGGGTAATCAAGGTCTAAAAGGTGATCAAGGACCAAAAGGTGTTGGATTTAATCTCACATCAAGGGGAGATTATAATACGTTCGGTAAACAACTGAAAGGTATGGCTAACGGAACTTCGTTCACTGACGCTGTAACAAAACAGCAACTTGATACTAAACTATCACTTTCTGGTGGATTAATGACCGGCAATTTGGATATGAATAGCAAAAGGATATACAATGTAGCACAACCAGATGGTGATAATCAACCAGCTACAAAAGTTTGGTCAGAAAATAAATTCCTGGATAAGTCCAGTGGAGTAATGGCTGGACCACTAAATATGTCTAATAATAAAATTACTCATCTAGGTAATGCCACCAGTGGAAAGGATGGTGTTTCACGCGATTTTGGTGATGGATGGTATCTTAAGAAGAGTGGTGATACGATGACGGGTACATTATCAGTTCCAAATATAAGCATGAGCCTAAATTATTTAACGAAGCGCAACAAGGTCATGAACTATTACAGTCTATTGAATCATTTTTTCCCACGGTATGGAGGACGACTGACTAATAGGGGAGTAAGCGATGGATATATATATAATCTCAAATCTCCACGTTATACAGATTCAAAAGGTGACTCATATGCTATGCCGAGGAGTTATACTGATGCACGTTATCATAGACTAATTCAAGATCTGGACATGAACAGTAAGAAGATAACCAATCTAGCTGACCCAACTGATACTACTGATGGGGTTAACAAAAATACATAGATGATAATTATTTGAAACTATCCGGTGGCACTATGACTGGTCATATAATATTAAACAATGCTGTTCTTACTTCACAATATCAAGCAATAAGCCGAAGCACTGGAAATGCATTTTTTGTACAAATTACTAATCCATATGTTTACCACCAATTCAATATGGTCAAAAACAAGATTATTAATCTTGGAGACCCGACTGATGCTACTGATGCTGTTAATAAACAGTATTTAGAAAAATCACATGTTAAACCCAGCCATTACAATAATGAATTTAAGTACTTGATGACTAATAAATTAGCATGGTCTGATCTCGAACCAAATAACATCGATAGTTTTGACATTACTAAAATTGATAATTTAATGCCCCAAGATGGTAACTACCATCAATACAACCACAAAGTTCTATATACAACCATTATAAAAGATAAGCAAGGAGGATACTCTTATGGAATGGGAATCAATTGTTATCAACTTAATAAGGATAAAGATGATACTCTTTGTATTGAAATCCTCAATTCAGATTACCAATTATGGCATAAGTCATTTGCTACAATTAATAAAACCACATCAAAGGGGGTATCAGTTGCTGGTTTTACAGTACAAAAGTTTTCTCACCGGTACACAAATAGTAGTGGGAACACTGCATGTATGTATTATCGCAAAATAATTGTAAACTTTCAAAAAACTGTATCAGGTACATATTACAGTCTGAATCTTAACGTTGATATACCTCAGACAGGCAGTGACCTCAACACTTACCCAAAAAATTGGGTTGATTACTGGATGATTGCTTATGGTGTTTTCGGAAAAGTGTCATCGATCGATCCCCAAAAGACATATGATTATCATACGGCATTTGATATTAAGCCGACTGAAGTTGCTTACAATGTTGATCTGGATATGAACAGAAAGAAAATATTAAACATTGCGCCAGATAAAACAAANTAATGCCCCAAGATGGTAACTACCATCAATACAACCACAAAGTTCTATATACAACCATTATAAAAGATAAGCAAGGAGGATACTCTTATGGAATGGGAATCAATTGTTATCAACTTAATAAGGATAAAGATGATACTCTTTGTATTGAAATCCTCAATTCAGATTACCAATTATGGCATAAGTCATTTGCTACAATTAATAAAACCACATCAAAGGGGGTATCAGTTGCTGGTTTTACAGTACAAAAGTTTTCTCACCGGTACACAAATAGTAGTGGGAACACTGCATGTATGTATTATCGCAAAATAATTGTAAACTTTCAAAAAACTGTATCAGGTACATATTACAGTCTGAATCTTAACGTTGATATACCTCAGACAGGCAGTGACCTCAACACTTACCCAAAAAATTGGGTTGATTACTGGATGATTGCTTATGGTGTTTTCGGAAAAGTGTCATCGATCGATCCCCAAAAGACATATGATTATCATACGGCATTTGATATTAAGCCGACTGAAGTTGCTTACAATGTTGATCTGGATATGAACAGAAAGAAAATATTAAACATTGCGCCAGATAAAACAAAGAATAATTCGGCAGCGACTGTGAAGATTGTCAAAGATTTGGAGACAAAATTGAGCCCTTATACAAAGAATAATATATATAGGGAAATATTTGAGAATTTTTATGATTTAAGCGATGCTAGTAACTATAAAATAACAATAGGAGTATCAGGTATCATGGTTTCAGGCATCCAACCTAATATTTATTTTCCTAGAATGGATCTTGCTAATATTTGGGAGGGCGGATTGAGGATTAAAAATACCACATTAAGTTTAGAATTATTCAGTAAAAGGAGCTTTACTCTTTGTGTTGTTATGCAGCTGTGGCTGAACAGATCATTTAGTATTAAAACATTGATGAGTAATGGAGCTTATGAAAGACCACATTTGATTTATGACAAAACAACAAAGAAATAAAAACTGCAAACTACTGGTCATGGGTCAACTAACAAAACTTCTATCACATTACTAAACAGTTTCAATGGTAAACGTGTTGTATTTTGGTTGACTAAGAAAGGTACAGCGGTTGACTTAACAGCAAAGGCATCAATTAGTAATCATAGTGCAACATTAACACTAAGTTCAACTTTAACATCTCAAAGTACCTACACATTCAGAATATTCTCAGAAGATACAGTGATCTATAGAGTAATGTACACTCCAAACTTTTATGACTTCGACTCTATCGAATTTCATAGAATAATGTTGCAAGAAAAACTAAACGGTTCTTATGTTCTATAAATAATCTAAACCAATAATATAATGAGTCAAAAAGAAAACATATTCTGCTTTAATCATATCGACAAAAGCAAAACAAAAGAAGAGATACAGGAAATCAAAGAACTGTATAAGTATTATCATTTCAAGTTCTGGGTTTATCAAAAGGCCTATAAACACTTTAAGAAGCTGAATCTCCTATTAAACTTAACATCATCTGGCCTGATAGTAGTTGGAGCTGTTGCTGGTGGTTTGACAGCCAACCCAGCCATTCTAGGAAGCATATCAGTTCTAAAAACTTTCTCTGAGACGAAAGACTACAAGAAAAAAATAGAATTATCTAAATTTTGTTACACGACTTACAGTAAAGTATTAGTCGAGTTGAGGACATCTCTGCGAGGGGCTACCTTTGATAAGGACGACTTCTTGAAGGAGATGACAGTACTCGATGAAACAGTTGTCGATTTCGCCCCATTAGTGACAAGATTCGAAAAGCAGTACGCTAAAAAATTCCTCTTCTGTCTAACAGAAAATATGAAACAAAATGGCGGCGATTTTGAGACAACAACCTCGTCCCCAGGGCCTCTCGCTCAATGAGTAAAATCTATTTCCGGTTAGGGGCTTTCCCTCTACTTCCTATCTGAATTCTGAGAAACCAGACGGCTAATATCAGTGTTGATTAAGGAATAAACTTTCTCCCACCGATTTTCATAATATCGTAGTGTATTTTTTGACTGAGTAATAGGAATAATCTTGTATTCTATCCTAAAATATCAAATAGTCGTTTTATAATAAAATTCACACTAATAAGCCGTCTTCTACGAAAATTATTGACTTGCGGTATAACTTGGTCAGTCAACCGAAATAATCTCAGAATCTTCTCCCTATTATAATAACCAACTTGTATATCATTATCGTCTGCGATATCATTGATGACATTCAAAATATGATATTTTCTGTGGTATACAGACTTTCTTTTTATCCTGTGTCTATTCTCATAAAAATCTACATACTCTTCTGCTGTTAAATAATCATGTATTTGGCCACAATTCTTACACACGATAAAACCGTCTTTGATCAGTCTCATAGAATCACAACAAAAATATTGCTTGGGCTTACTAGGGTCCTGGATTTGTTGATTACAAAAGATACAATTAATATGGCTTTCCTGGATCAATAACTCGTGAACTTCTTTATCACACTATTCTATATACTATAATTAGATTTTTATCTTCAAATCTAATTATAGAAAATTGCATTGGCATTAGAACCTTCTAGAAGGTTATTTTTTTATATCACGAGATTATCGTGTGATTTTTTCAACCAATCAAATAATTACACAAAATTTTCTACAACTTGAATAAAATTCTGTGAAACTTTAACAGCTTGTGTAAAATTTTGATTATGCCTCTCACTTTGAGACAGTTGGAAGGTCGCAGGGATGCCTGTATTTAGAAAATTCAGGAATTAAAAGTCTTAGCCGATGGTATTGGTTGCGCAGAGCTGGGAAATTTGACGTTTAACTCAAGTGGATTTTTCACTGGCTTAGTTGGAATGAGTAAAGAATAAATTGATGCATTTTTATCGCTGTTTCCGCAATTGCCGAGAGTACTGGAGTATGCACGGCAAGCAGCCAATGAAGAAACAAAAAGAAGAAAATTTGAAGTGCAAATCGAAAAAGCCATTAAGGAAAAAGCCATTAAAATAAAACGGTTCCATGTGGCTCAGCGAAAAAAGCTCGAAAGACAAGTAAACGTCTTCAGCGATTGGCAGCTCCTCCTGCTTCAGAGGATGACTCGTCACAAGAAATGGAGCAAACAAGTTAACTCTTGAATTGTTTGTTGTTTTATATCTCGCTTGAAAATATTCTATTTTTCCATTAACAATAGAATAGTCTTTGATTTGTAGCTTTTTTATCAAGTTTATCAATTCGCTCATGTAGCTGGCCACTAGTTTTATTAATTTTTACCTCAGCTTTAGAGCTATTAATTCAATATTTTAAAGTGACCATATGCATAACTAGTTTTACCATCAGCAAGGATATATCTTTTATCATCAAAGCAGGAGAATGAAATCTTATTTAGTTCGTAGCTTCCAATCTGGTGGCGGTCACTTCTAATTGTGCGCATGCTATGTAACATTTGTTTCCCATTCAATAAGCAATCTTTATAATTGTCATGTGTGATATTCTTTTTGATGACATATTTTCTGACACCCTAAGCAGTCTTTTCATTTTTACAATTGTCTTTCACATAAGAATACATTTTACTTCGAAGACCAATAAATTCTCTGATTGGCATGCCAGCTGCTTCATCTTTAAACTTTCCAATTACCTTCTCATTTTCCACACTAAAATATAGACTATCCTTCGGGTAATCACTATTATCAAATAATTGTTTATCCTCCCATAATTCCTTGTAAATATCCTTTGTCTCAATCTCATATCAAAGACTGTCTGTATCGGTAAACAATTACTTTGCTTTGTTATTGTACCTACTTTTGACATAACTATAATGGNGTAGCTTCCAATCTGGTGGCGGTCACTTCTAATTGTGCGCATGCTATGTAACATTTGTTTCCCATTCAATAAGCAATCTTTATAATTGTCATGTGTGATATTCTTTTTGATGACATATTTTCTGACACCCTAAGCAGTCTTTTCATTTTTACAATTGTCTTTCACATAAGAATACATTTTACTTCGAAGACCAATAAATTCTCTGATTGGCATGCCAGCTGCTTCATCTTTAAACTTTCCAATTACCTTCTCATTTTCCACACTAAAATATAGACTATCCTTCGGGTAATCACTATTATCAAATAATTGTTTATCCTCCCATAATTCCTTGTAAATATCCTTTGTCTCAATCTCATATCAAAGACTGTCTGTATCGGTAAACAATTACTTTGCTTTGTTATTGTACCTACTTTTGACATAACTATAATGGAAATCATACATGAGAGTTTTTGACAGATCCAAAATGCGCATACCCACATAAGCTGGCCGGTCGAGTGTCAATATTTCTTTGATCTTATGAACCGCCACAAGGTCCTCACTAAAGATCTTACTGTTAACAAATGTCGGTTTGCTTGCAAGTTTGGATAATTTCTTTTGATCAGTCACTAATCTCACGTCAACGCGCTTTCTTATGTTTCCCATCGTTTTTCCAAATACGGAATTATTTAATAATTTGAAAAAGTCTTTCTCAAATGCATTCTTAGCATTCATCCTCTTTTGGGTGTTAAAATTAATGTACTGTGCGAGCCAGGAAGACTGGTCAAATTCTAGTACCCTGTGTACTTTCCTCAGTTTGAGACCAAGAGACAAATAGAGTTGTAGATTTCTGTAGTGTAACACATAATTCTTTTTACTAGATAGTGTTGGAATTAGCTTAGCAACCTGGCCAATACTTATTCCAAACTGCTCCTGAATATTTTTGCAATAAGGAGAAAGCATTTCTTTGGTAACTTTTATTTTCTCCACGGCTAGAGGATAATCATTATGCAGCTCATGTAATTCTTTAGGATATTCTAAATCGACTTCTAAAATCATACCCTTTTTTCTGTCTTCTGCACAAGCAGCCATATTAACTTTTTGTATTTGTTTTTCAGTCATCCACCTAAAACCACCTGTTGGTAAATATTGAGACATCGCCCATCCATAAAGGTTATTCGCATCTACAATCAGGGACAAAAGTAGTTGACACACTTGTTTAAAACGGGTGCTTTTAACAAACATTTAATTCATTTATTATTTCATTCCTTTTAAGCGCCGTAAATCCCCCGACCCTCCGAATCAATGTTGTCTGAAGTAAAAAAAAGACTTGAGGGTCCAAAATTCAACATTGATTTTGGGGGAAAGGGGTTGGGGTAGACAGGGGAAGGGGATAAGTATATCCACTATGCAAAAAGGGGCTATTTTACGGAAGTGTGTCAACACTTTTGTCCCTCATTGTCTGAATGCAAAATTGTGCTACTGCACACAAGTTGAGCCGTGTATAACACTGATTTTAACTGAAATTAAAGGAATCAATGACATAATTATGTTATTGGTGGTGGGGGTGACATAGACTTATTCACGACCGAATTATAGGGCCAATTCGAATCACGCGATGACGTAATAAAAGGGCTGCGATATCCAGAATTAACGTCGATATGGTTTACAAGCTAAAAACTGACGCTGAAACTCGCGCCTATGTACAACTTTTGGTGAATTTCAAGGGGGTGCGTACTGAACATATTTTTAATAAAGTGGAGATTTCTGGTTCTTCACTTTATCCTATTGTTAAGGCCCAAACAATCACGGATAGGGTAAGGATTGACACGTAGTGGGGATAGTCACTGGCCGGCCACGGAAATATGGAGCGTTAGTGAGGAGCGGCCGTCACTGCGTTCAATATCGAAACTACGGAAAAGTGAAGGTAAATTCATGGCCAATTCAATAAAAAACTAAGGACAGCGTAGCAAACATTGCAATTGTACACGAAAACAATTACTTTCAATCCCACCTCGTGACACCCTGTGTGACATGATAACGCAACGCAAATAGCGTGACATAAGCGCACATGTCTGTGTATTTCGACTGCATTTCTCAAGCGAAACCCTGTGTTTTTGTATATTGTCGGCAGAGAAAATGAAAAGAGAGCTTTGAAACGTGAACTGGTATTTGACTCTCAAAGAAAACGACAGCTTAAACTGAGGAAAACACTGCTTCCTTCGTGTTACAACGGTTAACCACGTTTCGGCAAACGGAAAGTAACATTAGTCTGTTATGACCTCTTAATGTCGATATGTATTCTCGTGGTTAACCGTTGAAACTCCTTATTTGCACCACATCGCTGGAATTTTTCTCGCCAAGAATACGTATTGCGAAGCACTTTCTACATAGCGGAATCTTCTTTTGCCTTTTGTTAGGAATTAGCGCATAAAAAAGGAAAATTTTCCAGCGCACGGCCGTCATCGATCACGTGTTATCCCGCTTTGCTTGTCATCAGGTGAACTTCTGGGCCAAAGTAATTGCTGTTTTGGCGATGATACAAACTGGTGTGTCTATTTTGAAAACAATTTCTTTGGTATTATGTGATTTACGAGCTGGGAAATGAAATAGTTGTCCGTCCAACATCAATAAACAATCATGCCACTGAACAAATGGCAGGCGGTCATGTAAAATCATTAAAAAAGTACATACCTAACCTCGACGCCTACCTACGCTAAAGGTTTGGATCAGTTAGGTTAAAAAAGGTCTCAAAAAAAAAACACATCTATATATAGGGCACAGCACAAACGGCTGGCCCATCACTTATGAGGTTCATAACCTGTATATTGTTCACGTCCTTTCACTAATGGCAAAGGTCAATGTCAAAAATATAACTGCATGTCCCCTCTGTTACTCTGCAGTACTTTATTTGCTTAAGTTAACCATTTACCAGAACAATTTTCATTGTACCTTAATGTTTCCATCCTTTTTCCACTATTGATAATACTTGTGAAAACATTACATCCGCAGCAATGGCATTGATCACAACACAAATCATTTCGTCTCGACCCGACAGGGTATCAGGAACGCGCGCGGGGGTACAAGATTAAGTAATGACATACGCTTCGTACATTTTACTCTACGTATACTACAAATCAGGACGAAACACTATAAATTGATGTTTAAAAACAAACAATTTGGCCCATAGAGTAACGTCATCGCACAAAAATTCAGCAGCGTCAAAAATCTAGCCGGAAAACACAGATACATATTTCAGACAATCAGGGACAAAAGTAGTTGACACACTTGTTTAAAACGGGTGCTTTTAACAAACATTTAATTCATTTATTATTTCATTCCTTTTAAACGCCGTAAATCCCCTGACCCCCCGAATCAATGTTGTCTGAAGTAAAAAAAAAGACTTGAGGGTCCAAAATTCAACATTGATTTTGGGGGGAGGGGGTTGGGGTAGACAGGGGAAGGGGATAAGTATATCCACTATGCAAAAAGGGGCTATTTTACGGAAGTGTGTCAACACTTTTGTCCCTCATTGTAGATACATAATATACTTACTTGGTTTCTCTGGATTATACCCGCTCATATATTTATTATTAGCTTCCCCGTGTCGATTGGCAATATAAGAAATACCGCCGCGTAATCCCTTTTCTATAAACTGAAACATATCAATATCCGTCATAAAGTCTAATTTTATACCGGTCATTTTCAACATAGCGTCCCAGGATAGCCCAGGAGATGTAAAATAGTGACAGGGATCTAGTTTGTAATACTGATGGCAGGTGTTACGGAAATTCTCAAAAACATCAGCTAATAGGAGAATATCAGATTTCAGATACAGATCATGATACTCGCCCATTGTCCTCCTATTACTAGGTATACCTATCGATAGAGTGCCAACGAGCAAATCATGCTTATTTTGCTTAGGAATAAAATTTCCTTTTTTTCCCATTTGACCGTTTCTTGGTTCCTTCCTGTTGCAAGGATTATTTTCTTGAAAAGTTCTCAGATTCAGTCTGGTGGCTTTACAAAACTGCTATGTAAAATTGTGAAGTGCCTTGAAAGAATAAAGTCAGCTTTGCAGAGGAAGCGATCGGGAATATTATTAAGTCCAGCTACAAATCTACTGTCGGTTCCGTTTCACATTGTTGATAAATATTTGCACAGTTTAATCATCTACACCTCCTTTCAAATTTCCCGAGTCTTTTTGTTATCGGATTGAAACTTAAAATGATTCGCTGGGCCATCTGAAATGTTTCCAAGGACAAGCGATGTACGGCACGTCGGTATTTAATTTTAGTTCATTATTTTTATACTGAACTCGGCCACGTTTCGAAAAAATGGCGTTGTTTTCTTTTCCTTTGTCGTTTGTTTTAGGCTTGTAATTCGTTTTTGTCCTCATTGTTTTTGTTTGCTGGTTAGATTTTTTCCCCAACACCAGATTTTCCAACAGAAGCGACTGCATTCTTCGTGTCAAGCTTTCCTTATCTCCTCGTGTAATCTGATCCTTTTTAGTGGTGAGAATATTGGTTGCTGCACATAGAACACTTTTGCTGTTTTACAAACTTCTCTTCGTTAAAATTTAACATTATGGCCCCTAAAATTAATATAATATATCAAGTGCTCATGTCTCTTGACTGCGGTAGCCGGGCTTAACGAAAAAATTTAGGTAAAGAAACACAGGAGGTCGCGACGGCGGGAAGTGTGTGAAATTTTGTTTGTTACTCAACTTGAGCCGTGCGCCAGGTACTGCCTTTTGATTGGTTCACAACTGACCACTTGGTCTCAGGGGAATCTACATTACATTGGGTTACACTTTTTTCAGCTCGATCGAGAATTTTTCTGCCTATTGCCCAGTCTTGCGCGGCTCTATTCTGCTGCCGCCTCGCCATCCGAGCGTTTTCGCTCGGATGGCTCGTTGGCAAAAAGTATTCCAGACTTTTTGGGCATGTTGATATTGCTCATCAGAGATACTCTCATCTGTCAGTATACTATAAAATTGCTCTTTTGGGGGTAGTTGCTGATCACCAAACTTCTGAAAACTGTCCATGTAATCATACACTCCTTTCTGTTTCATCAGTGCTAATTTCTCATCTTGGAACACCTGACTGGTATACTTAAACGCATCGATGGGTAAATTAGCGGCCAATCTCTCCAAACTGCTGGCCATAAACTGAAAACTATCCAAAAATACAAAGTGTTTACCCAGCATGAAAGCCATATACTTTTCCATATTATTCGGGATACAATTAATGCGTAAATTATTACTTTTTCCGATTGATCCAATTTCTTGCATTATAAAATGGGAATCATACCCACGCAGATTATGAAAAATGACTGGCACCTTAAATTTACTTGGATCAAGCTTTAACTTCAAATTACAGTCCTGGTGTGCTGATCCCCTATACTGTCCAGTGACGTGACAATGATCTCTGACTCTTACTTCATTATCTAAATGTTTCTTCCCACAAATATGACATTCCTCGGCAACCTTGAATAATTCTTCCTCCTCGTCCGTCATCTGGAGTGGTTTTTGGAACTCAGTAGCAATCATTTTTTGGCAATATTCTACTTCCGAGAGCATATCCAATATGAAGTAGCTAATAGATTTCTCCCCTCGATAAATTTTCACTAGTTTTGAATATTTGTCATCATAACTACAGCCAGTGTGCTTTTGGTACTTATCAGTATAAGATTTAACACCATCTGGTTGACATCCAGATACTTTCTCTGTAATTGCCTCGAAATCTGCATAAATTACAAAAGGTACTGGCATCTGCTTATGATAGTTCTGAAATTGGACCGTACTGCCCCCCTCGAGCATCCTTATTGCCTGTTCCCCATTTATTATCATGCAATTGCTCTTATGTTTTGCTTGATCTCATCAGTGCTAAAACACTGGAGACAAAACATACAAAAATGTTTACGGTGTTGATGTTTAGTCTTATTGTACATCATCTTATTAAAATCCTTTATAAAAAAATAATGTTGCTTCTCGCCCTGTGTAATCAACAGCAGGTTCAATACTTTCTCGTTTTTATGCTTTGAGACATGAATTGGATAAAATTGCTCATTCTCATAACCAAACACATTAATATTAATGCTATTTTGCTCTTCTATTTTGCCATAATGTTTAGCAGCGACAGGGAAATCCACTCCTTGGTAATTTAATTCCTGGACCATTTTTCTGTCAATCTTTTTGATCCGCTGGGGATCCTTTTCTTGCGGATTCAAATATCGTATATGACACCAGCGAAAGCATTCATTATCCTTATTTTGAAGAATAATTAGCCCCTTAGCAGAATTCTGTAATTTTACCGGTAGAGGAATATAGGAATTACCTCTCATCGGCTCATACACTACTGTATTTATATGTTCATTAATACTACTAACAGTCCAACCACTGCCCTCAGACAACCAAACACCAATACCGTTTAATATTTGTTGCTGTGATAATTGCAAACTTGATAAAAAATCATTAGGATTAATTACTATTTGCGCTTACTATTGAAATAAGCTGGCTTATAAATATTATCATCATCCTTTCGCTTCACAAATGTTACTTTTAACGTCTCCACAAATTTGAAACCTTTTGTATTATTAATTATAGTGTTAAATAATCTACTAATTGCTAGTCTCGTATTTTGAAGCTGCACCAAAGCATCTCTATCAGTCTTCAAACCGATCTCATATGATTTAGTGAAGCCCTTAAGAGCCTTCCGTTTTTCACCAATTTTTGTCCGTGGTACTGCTATTGGCTGCTGTTTCTTTGTTCTGGGAGCTGGAATCGGTCTATATGGTGGGATGGGATTATTCTAAAAATATCGGATTAATTGTTGTACATTCCTTCTTGGCTTTGGAATTGGAGTCCTTCTAACAGAAATGGGGTGTGCTTCTTCCCTCACTCGTACTAAATTCTCGACCTCACTATCTGTAAGTCCAGATAACAATCTTCTTATAAGTTCATTACGATTAGTCTTCATATTATTACTATATATTATATTATTTTTATTTGAACGCACCATCTGCATACTAGTATGCGGCGCTATTTCTTTAAGTCTCGACAAACCGCCCAAAACCGGGTCAAACCGGATCCAAAAATGCTGACGTCAACAAAATCCCAAAATATGGAAATGCGCCGGTACCCCATATATGATATGCTCCGGTGCCGCCATGTACTATACTACTTATTTGAAACTTTATAACGTAAGGACATCTGTGAGCAGGGAATAAGTCAGCACAGAATTTGGTTGTCGGCGAATTTCTGTAATCGTCCATCGTTCTGCTAGTGATAAGTTAGCCGTTGTTCACTCGTCTTGCTTGTTTGGGGCTGAGTGTTATTCCGGTCAAAGAGAGAGAAAGAGTGTCTGGCAAGGTTTCCAATTTAAATAAAAGATTTGTGAACTCGTGTCTGGCAAACTTTCCAAGTGTTTATAGATACACAGTTAAACGCACCTCATAACCTCATCTGCGCTTAACGCGTGTCTTTTGGTTCATAACTTTCAAAACAGCTGCTCTATAGAATGTCACTGCGTAACGCAAGAGTATCGAAGTATGACTGCACAATAAATGTAACAAAATCTACCTGAGCGGTCCCTTCGAGATTTTCTGTCTTTACGTCATCCTAACCATTTCGTACTTGCGGGCGCAAACAATAGAAACGTCATCATTACCTACCGATTCCTCGCGGCCCCTGTCCAAGCAAATCGAGATTTTTTCTATATTGACTGTGTGACTAAATATTTCAACTGTAAGTAGTCTCCTTAATATACGCGCAAGTTACTAGAGTGCCTCCTCGGGATTTCACCTTCTGGGCGAAATCCCTGCAGGGGCAATAAGTACTAACCTTACTGATCCACCAGGCATGCAGTGTAGCTGCGTGTATGAGGTCAGACTGAACCCGAGTCTCTCGTTATGCAGATTAATTGATACCAAGAGCCATAATGGCTCTTGTAGATACATCAGTAGAGTCTGCTAAATTACATGTTGTTGCCATAAACTTTCAATGATTTTTGTTCCGTATTCAAAACAAAAATTCCATGCAATACCCGGTGGTTTTCGTTTATTTTATAGAGGGAGCGCTAAATTAATGTCGGTGATGGGGAAACAAGTGGTTTTTCTCTGTTAAAAATGGCTAAAATCAGCACTTTCCCAACGCACTCCAATAACGAACTGAACAGTCTCTGAGAACCGAGAGAAATGCGATAAAATGGTAATAATATTACAAAAACACTTTAAGTGAAATTCTGAATGGACAGAGTCATAAATAAGAGTGCTTTTAAGTACCAACTCTTGAGCGAGTTATATCGATGACGTAATTTCGGTAATTTCCCTCTATTATTTTATTGATGTCTTTTTGTCTATATAATGAAAAGAACATTACACGGCGGCTTGAAGATATGAATTTTATTTTCTCGTGGCAAAAACAATATTTTACGAACAAGCGCAGCGAGTGAGTAAAATATTGTTTTGCCACTCGAAAATAAAGTTCATATTTTCGCGCCACCGTGTAATATCCTCTATATATAATATAGATTTAGCCAGGGCTAAAAGCGAAGCTCCCGTTAATAAATTCATAATTTAAATCAAACAATAAACTTGTAATCCACAGATCAGGGCACATTCATTTGACGTTTGAGGCAAAGGCTAAGTGATTTTAGAGAAAAATAATTTGACAGTCAAGGAGTGAAACAGCTTTTACATCGAGTTATTAAATAGTCTTATTTGTACACACACCCAGAAATAGCAATCATGTTCGATCACAGTAGATTAGGCCTGGAAAACAAATAGACCTACCTATTCGTGTATTGTATATGCATTAGCTGTTGCATCATAATGTGGCATTGATCACCACTCTCTCCAACATTGCTCCGTTTGAGAGACTATGGACAATTGGACAACCCCGAAATATAATTTTAAGAAACACACGCGCCACGATAGTCCTTGGTGGCAGCCAATTTACACGTTGCATTCCTCTGTCTAAAAGAGAGGCCAAAATAAAAAATCAGGCCGGATTTTTTGTGTTCGACAAGTTTAGTTTACTAGTAAATCTTGGCGACGAATCTGGTGGCGTGTAAACCAGCCTTTTAAACATACTTTTTCTCATCACGTCTCAGGTAAACAGTACTATTGAGGCCCTTGTTTTT